GATAGGGATCCTGCCTCTCTGATATTTACCAGAACTTCTTAACTCATCTTGTGGTCCCTAAAAATAAAATATTGAAGTAGTGCCATAAACATGCTGTGGTATATTTCTTTTTTTTTGTTGGTAATATTGTAACTTCTGCTTAATTTCTACATCAGCCCTTTATTGATAGAACATACTAGTACTTTAATATTCAGAGTAATTGCCAACTCTTGTTGAATTATCCCTATATTAATGTTTTATCTATTTTGTGAGGGAAGGGTAAGGAAATCCCATCCGTCTTGATATATGGCTTATGAGACCATAGTATGGAATGTAGGTTTATTTTACCATTGCAGTTTTATGAAAATGAAAACAGCAAATTTTTTGCTGTTTTTGAGCAACTTTTACAGCATCTTGGTTCTTTGGGAGGAAGAATATGTAAAATATTTTAATAGTTGTTGAGTAATCAATATATGAAATGCTGATGAAAATTGAGTTTTTCTCCAGTTCTAAACTCTGTTGCGTAAGAATTCCTGTTAGAAGAACCTGAAACAATTTGCAATTTTTGTGTGTGCGTGTGTGTGTGTGGCCGCACGGCATGTGGGATCCTAGTTCCCTGACCAGGGTTCGAACCCGTGCCCTCTGCAGTGGGAGCATGGAGTCCCAACCACTGGACCGCCAGGGAAGTCCCTGCAAATTTTTGTACAGAAAATCCAAAGTGAATTTATGTTTCGTCCATCAAAGAGATTTAGTGCTATGACTCATCAGAAAAAAGGGCCCTTTTATTCTGTGTTGCCTGCCCCTCCCTCACTTGGAAACAGACGTGCTTCCACATTAGAGCCATCATTAGTCAGCACCATGGACACGCCACAGAGGGGAAACGGCTTTTGGGGACTTGGGCATCAAGAATAGAATTATCCATATATATGGAATCTAAAAAAAAAAAAAAAAAAGGTTCTAATGAACCTAGGGGCAGGACAGGAATAAAGACACAGACTTAGAGAATGGACTTGAGGACACAGGGAGGGGGAAGGGTAAGCTGGGACGAAGTGAGAGAGTAGCATGGACATATATACACATATATACCAAATGTAAAATAGATAGCCAGTGGGAAGTAACTGCATAGCACAGGGAGTTCAGTCCAGTGCTTTGTGACCACCTAGAGGGGTGGGATAAGGAGGGTGGGAGGGAGACGCAAGAGGGAGGGGATATGGGGATATATGTATATGTATAACTGATTCACTTTGTTATACAGTAGAAACTAACACAACATTGTAAAGCAACTATACTCCAATAAAGATGTTAAAAAAAAAAAAGAGTAGAATTATCACAGAACAGAACTTCTTCTTTTGGGGACTCTGGCACAGACTGGGAAGAGCAAAAGGCACTGAGAAGGGAAGGCTTTAGGACCCAAGGCTGGCTTTCCATTTCTTGAGAAATGCCCTGTTAGCTGAGAAATGATCAGGGATTGAGAAGGATTGAGGAAAATGGGGGCTGGGGAAGTCACCAGAGGCACTTCAAAGTTTTTTGTTGACCATCGATCCCTGGACTCTCTATGTTATATATTTGTATCTGAAACATCTCTACTGGCCACCCTGAGCACAGAGCAGTATCTAAGATAGAGATGAATGTACCGATCTATGTGAAGTGGACTGGTTGACAAATATCATTCAGGGAAGGGCAGTTATTACATGTTTGTTTAGCAGGGCCACTGTGCAGGGTTCTGTAGTTTATGCAAATAAAGTAGCCACCAGCCAAGGGACAAGTTGATATAAAATCTAACTCATGCTCTGCTCAGTAAGCTATGGGCCACAGGATAGTTTTTATCCACTTAGACCAAGAATTGCCTGATTCCCCAAAACATGAATTACAGGCTACTGATGGGGTTCTACGATCCATTTTCAAAATGCTGAAGTGACCAAGAATGAGACAGGGCAGGTGTAAGAAGGAGATTGGGCCAAATCAGAACCCAAGAGTTTACAGATAGAGAGGAGGAAATTTCATTCCCCTGTGGAGTGAAACCAGGAAGAAAGGCCTGAAGAGCACGGTGAGCTGTGAGTTGCCACCTCAAGGTATCTGGAGGTTACGTTGAGAAGGTTAAGGAAAGAGGCAGACCAGTTAATAAGGTTACAGTTGAAGATCTACAAGCCGTGACGGTGGGCGTGGTGAGAGATGATATGAATGATCAAAACTGATGCCTGAGATAGTCCTTGTGGACACAGAGGACTTTCTTAAGTCTGTCTTGGTCTATTTGCAGGCAATATCTCGTGTCTCCTAAGTGGTTCTCCAGACTTAACTAAGGAGCAGGTGATCAGAGCCTCTAGAAGGAAGGAGCTCCCGTTTTACCGTCTTGCAAGAACTCATAGAAGCTGAGAATGGAGGGTGGTGCCAATTGCTGCAGAGAGGGATTCCCGCAGAGAATGATAGATTTGAGGCTGGCTGGTTTCAGAAATGATAGGGACCGAGGATTGCTATACATCTCCTGCTGCCCCCTCTTAAAATGGGTGTGTTGATTGCATTTTTCCCCTGTGTCTCTTTCAGCATTGACTTCGTGAGCACCAGGTCCTGGTTTAGATAATGAGATGCTGGACATCATTCCTGAGCCTGTTTTTTTGTGATTGTACTACGCTTGGGAATTCTTTAGAGAGACGTTAGTGTTTTTGGTATGTGGGAAGTGTGAAGTCACTGGGGCCTGAGGGTGGAACAGTAGCTAGTGGCCAAGGATGACTTCCCAAGAACCATAAGTCAGAAGACCCATGCCCTATGTAGCCTCCTCCCCATGATTTTGGCTGTCTCTCTTTTGTTTTTCCCTTGGGTTGTTTTCCTTCCATTTTTATTGAGATATAATTGACACACAGCACTGTGTAAGTTTCAGGTGTACAGCATAATACATCATGAAATGATTACCACAATTAGTTTAGTAAGCATCCATTATTTTGGCTGTCTCTTTTTTTTTTTTTTTCGGTACGCAGGCCTCTCACTGTTGTGGCCTGTCCCGTCACGGAGCACAGGCTCCGGATGCGCAGGCTCAGCGGCCATGGCTCACGGGACCAGCCGCTCCGCGGCATGTGGGATCTTCCCGGACCGGGGCACGAACCCGCGTCCCCTGCATCGGCAGGCGGACTCTCAACCACTGCGCCACCAGGGAAGCCCTTGGCTGTCTCTTTGACTTGCTTTTGAACAATAGGATGTGATGGGAGTGGCACTGCCTGACTCCCAGGGCTAGGTCCTATTATATCTTGTACCTTCTGCTTCACTGGTGGAAGCCAGTCACTGAGTCCAAAGATAGCCTTGCTTCCTTTGTTGAAGGTTAATTGACTGTAGGTGTGTGGGTTTATTTCAGGGCTCTCTATTCTGTTCCATTGATCCATATGCTAGTACCACAGTGTTTTGATTACTATAGCTTTGTAGTATTGTCTGAAGTCTGGGAGGGTTATGCCTCCTGCTTTGTTCTTTTTCCTCAGGATTGCTTTGGCAGTTCTGGGTCTTTTATGGTTCCATATAAATTTTACGATTATTTGTTCTAGTTCTGTGAAAAATATCATGGGTAATTTGATAGGGATTGCATTAAATCGGTGGATTGCTTTGGGTAGTATGGCCATTTTAATGATATTAATTCTTCCAATCCAAGAGTATGGGATATCGTTCCATTTCTTTGAATCATCTTTGATTTCTTTTATATCTTTTAAACATTCTCCTTTTTAATTTTTTTTATCAAAGTATATGTCTCTTCCTTTAAATAAACAGAACCACATAAGAAGAAAAAGTGATTCAGAGTTATTCATAAATCTGACTCTCTGAAAAACTATGGAAGTGGCAAGTAGAATACTCCCTAAGGAAAGGATGATTTCCTTTATTAAGTTTTACAGTTCTCAACATGTAAGTCTTTCAGCTCCTTGGTCAGGTTTATTCCTAAGTATGTTTTTCTTTTGATGTGATTTTAAAGGGGATAATTTTTTTTTACATTCCCTTTCTGATATTTCATTGTTAGTGTAAACATCAGGTCGGTGCTGTGTGACCGCCTGGAGGCGCGGGATAGGGAGGGTGGGAGGGAGGGAGATGCAAGAGGGAGGAGATATGGGAACATATGTACCTGTATAACTGATCCACTTTGTTATAAAGCAGAAAGTAACACACCATTGTAAAGCAATTATACTCCAATAAAGGTGTAAAAAAAAAAAGAAATGCAACCAATTTCTTTTTTTTTTAAAGGTATTTCCACTTTTATTTTTAAAAGGTACATAAAGGAGGGTCCAAAGAAGTCTCCAAATGAGACCAACAAACTCCCAAATATGTGTGTAACTATCAAAATTTCTGAGGTCAGCAATTAAATATTTGCTTTAAACTTTCTATTAAAGTAGAACAAAAAAAACCACAGCACAACTTCTATAGGGATATCAGGACAGTTATAGCAGTAAATCTGGCTTGATGTAAACGTGACTATTATCCTATTTTCTCCTATTCCTGGGGAGACAGAAATGCAACCGATTTCTGTATGTTAATCTTGTATCCTGCTACCTTGCTGAATTCGTTTATCAGTTCTAGTAGTTTTTATGAATTTCACCTGATTTCCCTCAAATTACAAAGTTTCTTCCCCATATCACCAATTATAGCTTTGTGTATATAGACAGATGCCTTATATCTTGGTTTAGTTGTCTGAAATGGGGGAAGGGTTTTGGTTCAGTGTCTGGCATATAGTAGGTACTATATAAGGATATTTTTACTAATGTCTTTGCAGACATTTCAGTGACCCTGTCCCTTAGTCCTTGTGTCAGAGCAATAGCTATGCTTTTAGATTCCTTGATCTTTTCTATAGTACTTTCACACCCCTCTTGGTGATGACCACTTACTCTTTTTTCCCCCAAAGCAAGAACCAAACCCTGTTAAGTTTTCAGAAGTTTTAATGATCAAGTTTTGGGGAAGGGTGAGGAGGAGCCAATCTGTTAGCGAACTCTGGGAGTCACATGGTCACTTAGATGGAGGGACCTCCTTGATAATGGGGAGTCTGGTCACATCCCTCTTTAGCAGACACACACTGAGGACAGGGAGACATCTCTCCACACTTGCACAAACTTCACAGATTGTGGTGGGAGTCGATGGGCAAGGCTATAATATTTTTGGCCATTTACCGTTACCTGGAAGGGAAAATGGGTCAGAAATACAGTATGCCACCAAACAAACTTTCAGTCTTCCTTTCTCCTTCTGCCCTAGTACACACACTATCCACTCAGAAAACCCCTATTCAAACTTCGAAACCCAGTAGATATGCTTCTTTTTATAGGCTAACTTTTGGGACTGTTTTGGAGACTTGTTCGCTTTGTTTTCTGTATTTCTCTTATTCCTCCAGGGAGGTTCTACCACTCTCTGTTGCACGGTCTATATTTGCGTGGCCTTTCCTCTAGCTTAGAAGCTTCTCATGGCCAAGAACTGTGTCTCATGAATCTTGACTCCCTGTCTCTTGCACAGAGCATCACAGGCTAAGGGGTTGGTAAGTGTTCACTGAATGCATACACTTCAGTTCTGCAAACTTTGCTGCCATTTACTCTGATCACCCAGTTTTTTCTTTGAGTACCTTAGATTTGGGGTGACGGTGGTGAAGAATGAAACTCAAGTGGTCTTAAAGAGGTAGAATAGTACAGATGGTTTAAAAATAGGATATTATTTTAACAGCTTATAGACATGAAAAGATGCTCTACCTCAGTCTTAAAAAATATTATTTTTTTTGCCTAGCCATTTAAAAAGGGCAGAATATTTGAACATATTCTTTATTGGTGAGACTCTTCAGAAGCAGTCATTTTTTGGGTGTTAGTTTGTCATATTTAAAATTCATATGGTTTTTGAACCAGTTATTCCTCCAATATAAGTATTGGGAGGTTGATAATGACAAAAGTGTCGTACAGAAACCTTACTGCAGCATCATTCTTGAGAGCAAAATATTGGAAACAACCTAAATGTGCATTAATAAGGGTCAAGTTAAATCATTTTTGGTAATCCTTCTATTGGAATGTTATGCAAACATTAAATTATGAAACGTCATGGATCTAAGATATTTATTTATTTATTTATTTATTTTTGGCTGTGTTGGGTCTTCGTTTCTGTGCATGGGCTTTCTCTAGTTGCGGTGAGCGGGGGCCACTCTTCATCGCAGTGCGCGGGCCTCTCACTGTCGCGGCCTCTCTTGTTGCGGAGCACAAGCTCCAGATGCGCAGGCTCAGTAGTTTGGGCTCACGGGCCTAGTTGCTCCGCAGCGTGTGGGATCTTCCCAGACCAGGGCTCGAACCCGTGTCCCCTGCATTAGCAGGCAGATTCTCAACCACTGCGCCACCATGGAAGCCCCTAAGATATATTCTTAGATCACAAATAAACTCTAGTCTTCATGGTGTGATATATAGAGAAACTCATGACACCTTTTCTTTAAAAAAAAAGTATATATATATATATAAAATGGATAAAAGTATATATTTTTATCCATTAATAAAAGTATATACTTTATATATAAAGGGGTAGATAGTTAGATGTACTTGTATAAGCATATATTACCTCTGGAATGAGTGTAAAGAAACTGGTAACAGTTGTCCTGGTTTGAGAGTGAGAGAAAGACTTATATTGGATGGATTAAAATTACTCATATGCATATCTTAACTATTTAGTGACATGAAAATTCAAATAATAACAGCATAGGTAGAAATGATAACTATGGGTGAAGTCAGAGCAAATTCTCCACCTTGAGGGAAGTGGCAGGTAAGCTGATCTTGACCCTGGTTCGATTTAGGAAAAGACCTGAGGATGGCGGTACAAGCAGAGGGTGCTTTGTGATTAAAGGGGCAGGAGTAGTTATGGGAGATGGACCCTGAAGGACACTTGGGGCAAGGCCAGGGAGAGCTGTGTCCTCCTCTGAGAGCTTGTAGAGGCCGTGGAATGGATGGTTCCTGGGTGCACTTACCTGGTACTCATTTTGCAGCACCGAGATGTGCAGTTCAAATGGTTGGCCATCCACAAAGGGCATTCCAGAGGATGCCACATCACAGTTCCAGCTCCCATTCTGACGGTTGTTTATCTTCACAGATATGCCAAAGTACACTTGGAAATGGAAGGCAACGTCTGAGTTCTCATCAGTCCCAGTGTGGAAATCCACCTGCATTTCTGGGTTCTTACTGATGGGCAAGCACATAGCATGTTGAATAGGCCTCTTCTTGTGGGGGAACCCACATTTGGCATACACATACACATTCTTTCCCAATTCCTCCCTGGTAGAAGGAAGGCCTTCCTGGGGGATACTGTAATCCTTGTTCCTGTGGGCCTCCTTCAGCTTATCCTGCCCAGGATAGCAGGATGCCCTGTTCCTTGGCCCAAGATTCAAACTGAGCAGAAGTCACTGGCCTGGGGCTACTGGTTCTTTATCTGCTGGAAGTCCTATGCCCCTTGATGAAGAGCCAAAGCCCTGACCCCTTTTCCCAGACCCCAAGACCTGCCAACAGTTCTGCAACTGCAGGCATAATTCCTGGTACTGCAGGGGTCTCCAGGACCTGCATCTGCATTGTGCTACCATTATGCTATTTCATGTTTTAACATCACTCATACATGAAGTGACCTGCCCGCCCCCATACTCTAATATTCTCACTTCTCCTTCACCTCCCCACCCATGGGCTATAGAGTACCCACCTGAAAGATATGGCAGGTTTCCCTCTGATTGTCACTGAAGAACCAATAGACAAGGACACATGCCATGTGTACAGGACCTGCCATGGGGAGACAAGAGTGGATGAGGGGCAAGGCCAGGTGTGGGCTCCCCTCCTACAGCAGTTCCCAGGGGTGCAGCAGGTTACACATCAAAGAACAAACTCTGAGGGCCCCAATCTCCCCACTTCACGAGAGTCAGGTCCCTGTGTCCTTGAAGAGATGAGAGGATCATAGTTAAGAGCAAGGGTTCAAGAGCCAGGCTGCCTGGATTCGAATCCTGATTCTGCCCCTTACGAGCAGTGAGATCTTAGATCCATTACTTGAACTCTCCCTGCCTCAGTTTGCTTGGTACAAGGAGGATTATCAGAAATTCCCACTTCATAGGGTGTTCTCAGGAATAGATGAGCAAAACCTTTAGCCTAATCACTGGCACATGCAGGGTCCATACAGGGGCGACCTGTCAGAAGGGGGAGGACCCTTTCAGGAATACTGCCTGCAATTATTTTCTACCATCTGAAACTCTGAAGACAAGACTTGAGGATATAAAAATATGAAAGTGTAAAAATTCACTCCAGTGAAAAACATTTGTTTAAAGAGAGAGGGACGTAATAATGGAAAAGGAAACCCCTGTGTGTGGGATGTAGATGTATATGCATCGGAATTATCAAGGGGAATGCATGTCCTTTCAAGAATGTATACAATGTTGTTGAGAACGCAGTCAGTACTTGTACAAAGGGTGTGGGACAGGAAAGGAATTGGGGAGAATCTACAAGTTGTTGACTGAAATCCGCTGTAAACTGTCTGGACCGAGGCTGAATGTGTTCATTCCAGCTTCAGGTGATTTGATTCTCTGAAACCAAGTCTCCCAACAGCTTTCCCCTGGGGTCCAGGATCTGCTCACCCTCCTCCTGTGAGGCAATGGGAAGGGCCGACTTGGGGAGGATACCTGAGGTGGAGCGAGTGGTCACTGTGTGTGCACCCAGACTGGAGATGCAGCGCCCTACAGTCTGAGGTCACCTTCTCTCACTCTTCTTGAGAAGAGGCATCCAAGGAATCACTCCTTCTGCTCTCATTAATGCTCAGAGATGAGATCTGGGTAACTCCCAGGCCACAGGGCCACCACTTCTGCCAACCAGGATCCACACTGATACACATGGGAAGACCCACAGTCATTTAAACAGTCACTGCTGTGTAGGGGAGAACCCTCACATGCAGACAAATCCACACACATATTCACCGATCGACACCCAGTCACAGATTCTCACACACACACATTTACATATAGTCACACAAAGACATGCAGTTCATCATGTCACGCATGCCTCCCTACATTCTTACTCACCGTAACATGCACTGGTGTGCTGTAGTCACACACACAGAGCCATGAAGACAAATGCACAGCCTCACCTCCTTGCACTTCTGCACACACTCCCTCATCCCCTCCTCTGACTAAAGACTCTAGTGCCTTCTGCTAGAAGGCTATGTCTTCGGCCTTCTTGTTTGTTACTATTCCCAAAGTAAGAAAAAAATTAATAGCTGTAAGAGGAGACCTTGAGACCGTAAGGTTACAACTGTCAGCAGACTACTGCTTTGAGAACAACTGGTGCCATCCTGAGTCTGACACAGCTCAGGAAGTTCAGGTTCTCAGCAAAGCAGGAGTGGGTCTCAAATCCCATCCACAATGGCCGCCCGGCTCCATCTTGGATGCCTGAACCATGGTCACTCCATTTTGACTTTTTCTTTTTTTTTCCATTTTGACTTTTAAATGCATTTTTTAAATGCATTTTCGTGTTCAGTGGCCAAAGCAGATGTACAGTGGATGTTCAATAGGCCACAAAACAGGCCACTCTGGTCAGCATACAGTTCAAGTTATATCATGTGAGAGCCAGAATGACTTTGCCATCCCTCAGTAGGTGAAAAGTTCCTCTATCATTTTCCCTTTTGTCTGCAAATCTTTTGATAGAGCACAATATTTGTCCCTCAATGCCAGGTTGGTTGCTGCTGGCCCTGGGTCCACCATGTCCTCTGGTGCTAGGCCTCCTTTTTCTTCATATATATATTTGCCTAGTTATCCACATTGGGGGAAAACTAATCAGACATAGTGAACAAGCTCAGAGATATGCGGATGGGGAAACATTTCATAGGCTATTCATTTTATAAATTATATCGAACTGTTGCACAAACATTGTACATGTGCTTTTAACAGCAGACCTAAAGCAAGCAGTGATACATGTCATGAGTAGTTATAGTCTTTGACAACTTCCCCAGAGAATTTTCCTTCCATCCTAAACATTAGGGGCATAGTATGGTTAGAGGTAAAGCAATAACTTTCAGTGTTGATAGGGAGACAAACATTTGGTAAACAGTTCAGTTAAATTAGTAGAATGGCTCTTAAAGGCTGGGTCCAGATTTTTGGGTCAGCTGCCTACCACTGCTGTTGCCTTTTTCTCGTCCTAGTGTGGGTGTAATTTGGGGTCAGCAGTCCTTTCTGTAGACCAGTCCACTGCAGAGGCTCTTCTTACACGGGAAATATGAATTCAGGAGTCAGTTCCCTTCAGTTTCGCTGTGTGTGAGCTAGTTAAGAATACTTGGTATGGGTTCTTTTATCTAGGTTGGCGACAGTCCTTTAAGTGATACCTTTTCCAGGAATTCCCTGGCGGTCCAGCGGTTAGGACTCCGTGCTTCCACTGCTGGGGTCACGGGTTTGATCTCTAGTCGGGAAACTAAGATCCTGAATGCCACATGGTATGGCCAAAAAAGGAAAAAAAGTCATAAATGATGCCTTTTCCAGCATGCATAATGTGGTTGCAGGTCATGAGGCATCTGATTTTTTTTTTTTTTTGCGGTATGTGGGCCTCTCACTGTTGTGGCCTCTCCCGTTGCAGAGCACAGGCTCCGGACGCTCAGGCTCAGCGGCCATGGCTCACGGGCCCAGCCGCTCCGCAGCATGTGGGATCTTCCGGGACCGGGGCACGAACCTGTGTCCCCTGCATCGGCAGGCGGACTCTCAACCACTGCGCCATCAGGGAAGCCCGAGGCATCTGATTTTTATACAAGGATAGATTGCTGTGATAAGCTTCAGAAAGAAACTTAGAGTGTCCTTTCAGTATTTCAATTACACTTTACAGTAATGTAACACAACACTAAGGAGCTACCTGGGAGGTGAGTCTTAGATACTAGACACAGACCTCAGACTTTCCTCGTGGTGCAGTGGTTAAGAATCTGCCTGGCAGTGCAGGGGACACAGGTTTGAGCCCTGGTCAGGGAAGATCACACATGCCGCGGAGCAGCTAACCCCATGCTCTACTGAGCCTGCGAGCCACAACTACTGAGCCTGAGCACCACATCTACTGAATCCTGTGCACATAGAGCCCGTGCTCCGCAACAAGAGAAGCCACCGCAATTAGAAGCCCACACACTGCAACAAAGAGTAGCCCCTGCTCACTGTAACTAGAGAAAGCCCATGCAGCAACAAAGACCCAATGCAGCCAAAAATAAATAAATTAAATAAATAAATTTAAAAAAAGACCCTATAAAGAATAAATAAATACAGACCTCAGTTAACAAAACTAGAATTTAATATCCACTGAAACATAATGTTCTTCTCTCCAAAATTACCCTCATTTTAATCAAATATAACCACATTAAGACTAATTGGTTTGAAAAATAAGTCTGGTTTCAGTAAACTTGTCCTGATTTTCACATAAGTGTAGTTGATGACACAGGCTCTTTTAAATTAGCTGTGCTTTAACTTTTTTATGAGGAACCTCAGATTGTGCTCTTAAAAGGATTCTCAAGGCCAGAAAAGCCATGCCAAGGGCTTGCCACAGATTTTGCCTGCACTGTCTATAGATTTGGATGAATTCTTCGCTTCTTGAGGTCTTCACAATATCTTGAGATTCCTGCACCTGTCAGGAGGTGTGACCTTCCTTATTCACTCTGCTGGGAACCTAAGAGTTTCCAGTTTCTAAAGGGATCAATAGAGAGAAAAGACTGATTTTTCAACTCTGCTCACAAAGGTATAATTTACCAAGTTGCAGTGAATCATAATTAGCTTGAGGCTAAAGGTTTCCTTATATCTGGAAAACACAGATTAAAAGCCAGTAATAGGGCTTCCCTGGTGGCGCAGTGGTTAAGAATCTGCCTGCTAATGCAGGGAACACAGGTTTGAGCCCTGGTCCGGGAAGATCCCACATGGCGGCGGAGCAACTAAGCCAATGCGCCACAACTACTGAGCCTGTGCTCTAGAACCCACGTGCCACGACTACTGAGGCCCGAGTGCCTAGAGCCCGTGCTCTGCAACAAGAAAAGCCACAGCAATGAGAAGCCCGCTCACCACAACAAAGAGTAGCCCCCGCTGTCTGCAACTAGAGGGAGCCCTCACGCAGCAACGAAGGCCCAACACGGTCAAAAATAAAATAAATTTATTTTTTAAAAAGCCAGTAATATTTAAGATAAAACCCATAAAAATTACAACCATATTCACCACTTCACTCAGTCCTATGTAACTAATTCCTTTTTGTTAACAGTTTTATGAAGCCATCAGGGTTTCCATTAGAATTAATCAATTTCTTATCTAGTTCAGCAGTATTTTCTGAAGTATATCATAAACCTGTATTTGTCAAAAATTCCTTTTTATGAACCTTGAGGACGAAGCTTTTTTGGGAAAAAAACAGTAAAACAATAACTGTCTATAAATGACAAAAGACTTTAAAAGGCATACTTAAAGATCTGATTACAATGCAATTGAAAAAGAAACTTGGTTATTGCTGTGACATACAATATTTTAACTAGAGTTATGACTAATACCATTATACCAGGACATATAAGATTTTTAAAGAAATTTCATATAAGTTCTAGAATGTATATAACATTTAACCATAGAGTATAACCTAAGAAGGCTTGTCACTCATTGGACAATTCTTCCCATATAATTTAACATACCAAATAATCCTAGTGAGTTTAACATCTCTGTAAGAGATGCTTCAGGGTTCCTTTTTTTTTTTTAATTTTTGGCTGCGTTGGCTCTTCGTTGCTGTGCGCGGGCTTTTCTCTAGCT